ACAGAGTCTGGTTTACAATATGAATGGTTGACGTATAAAGTGTGAGGAGGTGATTCTAACTGTGTAAAGAGCTCCATGGATAAAAGCTCATAGGAAACACGGCCACAGCGAAAAAAGCAAAGGAGGTGCGAGTTTGCATTTTTTCTCGTCGTTTATGGAGCAAATAAGGCGAGTACTGTACTACTGTCAACTGAGCTGCTTGACTTAATTGCCCATAATCGTGGCAGCCTTTGATAACACTTTTGAACTGTTTCAGTGTCACAATGCCGAAGTGAGGACCTATACCCATTTGAAGAAAGTTCCCAAGGAGAAGATACATATTCCAAAGGTTCGCAAAATTTTTCGGTCATAAATTTTACTGCTACATTGGAGAGTTCTATGATTCGGTTGTTCCTACATACAGGAGGGGAGCCAAAAAAGACGGTTCAGCAGTCACATATCGGTGAAGTTTTCGCAGCACAGAATGAAAACGGGAAGTAGTACCAGGGCGGATACCCAAGGTGTTCCTCGATAAGCAGAGCTGGCTCTCGCCCATCACCTTCATGTACACCAAAATATGAAGTCATCTCGCAAGTAGACTGGAGAAGGCCTATGGAATTCACGTCACCTCCAAACAGCTGCGAAACTTCTTGTATGGAGTCACCCATGGACAGCTACCTGGAGACGGCACTCTTGATCTGGAAGACCTCCAACATCGAGCAGCTCCGACAACGTCGCTACGGTCCAGGATATCATCTTCACCGCAGTCGCCAAGGCGCGGGTTGATGGTATGGACCGGAAGTTCCTGGAATGGAAAGACCGATATTTTCTTCGTGGACCCCGGACTGAAGGTGAGCGCTGGCGGTTACATCGAGCAACTCGAGAAGAATATCCTCCCCACATGTCGTCGCCCGTACCTTCTTGGAAACTTTGTACTGCTACAGGATTGGGTGCCACCACATGGAATCGAAGGGCGTTGGAAAACTCTCGCCTACTTGGAATGGAAGGGCGTTGAGTACCTGAAGAAGACGGAATATCCAAGTGTGTCACCTGACCTGAACCCCCTCGATTACCGGGTTCGGGCAGGAGCTCAAGGTGGTCTACAGTGGCGCGAAAAACAGCGGCCTCGCTGAACCCAGGCACTGCATCACAGGTCGCGCCAGAATCTCTCGATGGCGCTTGTCCAGAAGGCTGTGGCGGAGTATCATGTTA